TTGTTGTGGAGAATTGTGTGGGTATGGCGAGTGGGAAAGAACAGGAGTTGGAAGACGCGCCAGCAGCACTTTATAGGTCTGCTGTATGGGACCGCTTTGCATTTAGAGTGACCTATGATGACGGCGGAAAGTAAGTTGTGGATAAAAACAGTGTACAAGCATTGTGCAACACGTTTTGTTTATGCTAACAGCAACATGACCAACATGTCAGGCTAACAATCAAAATATACCGAACCAAAAATCGTGACCACGAAACCGTGAACCGAACCGAACCGTGGATTTTGTGAACCGTTCCACCCCTAGTGTAGTGTAAGGCTTGATCAAGTACTATCACTTAAACAGAGAACATAGCTATGAGAACAACTTACCAATGTAAATCAGTGATTTTAGATACAGGCCAATATTATGCAATATTAGTGTTTTGGTTAATATCGGACCGATATTAGACATTGACACTGGATCAAGACATTCCTTTGGAATCAGGCTCTACCGGCACCTTTCCAGATTGATATATATGGTAAGGGTGGAACGGTTCACAAAATCCACGGTTCGGTTCGCTTCACAGTTTCATGGTTTCGTGGTCACAGTTTTCGGTTCGGTATATGTTGATTGTTAGGAAAGTCTATTATATATGCTGGCTGGGAGGTGCAAACCAACATTACAAAATCTAAAAAACTGTGTGTTTTAAGTTTAAAGTGTTTTTTAAATGTAAATTTGTTTTCTGAAAAAATACTTTGTTTTGGAACTTGTAAAAGTCTTTTAGATTCTGTAATGTTGGTTTGCACCTCCCGGCCACCATAGTTATGTCTTGTATAGTACAACAGGTGTTGCACAATGCTTGCACACTGTTTTTATCCACAACTTTCTTTCGGCCGTCATCGTAGGTCACTCTAAATGCAAAGTGGTCCCCTACAGCAGACCTATAAAGTGCTGCTGGCGCGTCTTCCAACTCCTGTTCTTTCCCATTCGCCATACCCACACAATTCTCCACAACAACTGATTTTTTTTCTGCTACACCCGGCTACGTTGCTTCATTTTTTCTTGTTTGCTACTGGTGGTTGGCTTTGGTCGCAGTACCGCCACCTTCTGCTCTGGAGTGTAAACGCTTCGCCTACGCAACACACTCGAATCGAACCGAGACAGTCGAACTGAACGGTTCGGACAGTTTTCATTAACCGTTCCATCCCTGATATATGGCCATGATATACCTGGCCTGTGAAAGGTGAAGGGTTGAAGTTAGGAACAGGATGATAGAGCTACAGTGAGAGGTATCTAGATCAACTCAGGCTTTGTAACAGTGAAACCACACGATATGCAAGATATTTACCCCAGAACTATTGTTACTTCTTTCACTTTTTGAAAAGGGGCCCTGCTTTTAAGAATCAAACTAACAGCGATCTGGGTAAGGTGGCAAAATTAGTTCGATTTTTAGGGGCTTTATTTTGAAATTCCTCATCTGATGTTAATGAACTATGTTGAGAAAGATCCTCCTCAATTAAAATGAATCACTGGGAACTGTTTTATTTGAATGATTATGGAAACTATGAGGTTAATAAATAAACGTTTTAAAATAGGGAACACATGACATAAAACCGTGACAAAAAATAAAAAGATCATAAATATTTATTGGTATATTCACAGACCAAAGTAAACCAAACAAAAAAAAACTATATAAATATGTCTTAGAAGAGGAGAAATGATGATCTCAACTAATTTAATTAAACATGAACATAAAACCAAGTTAGTGCTACAGCTGTATTTATTTGTTTATGTGAATGCTGCATTCTAAGTCTAGCGCATACTTTAAGCAAGGTTTCTTACTTTAGAGCATACAGAACTAATTATGTTTTTCCAAACATTATAATTAATTTAGACTTTAAGTTAGACATTATATAACATTATAATGAAAATTGATAAGATTAAAATTGATCATGACTATGAGAAAACAAAACAAACTAGTTTTAAAAAGATTGTATATAACTCATAAATGATGATGTTCGTTGTGCAACATCTCAGCTGCACAACAAACATCATCCTGGTGACTGTCTTGTGATTCTGGTTTTCAGTGTGACTTGGTAAAAGAATGTGTGACTAAATGATCATAAATTATGTAAAGGTCAATAGATGACATTATTTTTAAAGTTAATTTCTTTCAGTTAATCCTTTCAATAGACCACTACAGATGAATTCCTCTCAGACTGATGATTTTTCTGCTTATGCGATATTTATGATCAGAATATCACATTAGACCAATAGGAAAAATAATCTGGATTAAAGTAATGGGCTTAATGGAAACAAAATATTTCCTCTTTTAGATTCTCGGAGTGAGGAAGTATCTGTATATTTATAAAAAAAATCAACTCAAATATTTTAACTGAAGATTTGACTGATTTAGGAGGAAACTCTAGTCTTTAATGGATCTGCTGTTGTTGGGGACACTCTAAAGGGACCTGGAGAAAAACAATTTAGACACTCTAAGATGTTCTTGTGTGCTATTTTAGTGATAAAAGAAAAAAAAAAAGTAGTTTTCACAGCTCCATTCTTCCCTCAGTCATGAACAGGACCCCAAGATACTTGAACTCCTTCATTGGAGGCAGGAACTCTACTCTAACCGGAAGGGGACATGCCACCTTTTTTGGGTAGAGAACCATGACCCCAGCTTTGGAGGAGCAGATTCTCATCCGGGCCGCTTCACATTTTGGTGAGAACCACTCCAGTGAATACTGTAGGTCTTGGCAGTAGGGAGCCAGCAGAACCATGTTATCCGCAAAAAGCAGGGACAAGATCAGCTGGTCCTCAAACTGGACCCCTCTGTCCCTTGGCTGGGCCTAGAAATCCTGGCCATAAATGCTGATGAAGATTCTCAGTCATCCAGGTCATAGTCATTCCCTAAAAATTCAAAAAATATCCACTGGACTTGGTTTCCAAGATTTGAAGACGTTTCGCCACCTCTCCAGGAAGCTTTCTCAATTCAAATGTCTGGATCCGCAGTGAGTTTGAGTCCTATATAGACAAAGCCTTGTATCGCTTGGAAACATGCAAATGGAAACCGATGAATGGACCCAAACCTGGCCATAAAGTTTATTAACAGGACCGGTGACATAAGGGCAGCATTGTCGGAGTCCTACCTGCACCGGTAAAAGGTCCGACAATGTTGGCAATGTGGACCAAACTCCTCTACTTGTATGGAGACCAGATGGCTCCTTGTAAAGAGTCCCTGACTCCGGTTTCCTGAAGCACCTCCCTACTCTGCAAGTTCAGAAACACTGTCCCGGACATCCACGCAATGTTGAAGAGGCGTGTCGGCCATGGCAGCCTGACAACATCCAGATCTTTAGGTACTCTGGGCGGTTCTCATCCACCCCTAAAGCTTTGCCACAGCAGAGTTTTCTGGCCACCTCCATGACTTCAGCCTGGGTGATAAACGAATCCAGCCTCTTGCACCTTGTCTCTTCTTCCATTGCGAAGCGTATCAGCCAGATTGGAGAGATCCTCAAAGTATTCCTTCCACTGTCCAACCTATTTCATGGTCAGCAGCTCCCTACTCCCACTGAAAGCAGTGTTAGCAAAGAACTGCTTTTCCCTCTGGAGGCACAGGACAGTGTACCAGAATTGCTTTGAGGCCAACTGAGGTCTGAGATTTTGCCTCTGCTACCGCCTGTGCAGCTGCATGCTTGACCTCACGATACCTGCTTTCTGCCTTGGTAGTCCCACTGGGCTCAATAAGACTCCTCCTTCAGCTCGACAACACCCCCTACTGCTTGGTTAAAGGATTGGTGTAGGATACAGACGGGTTGTTGCTATAATGTGGACACTGCACCGGTGGGTTGTGGTAAAGAGAGAGCTGAGCAAAAAAAGCAAAGCTGTAAATTCAACGGTCAGTCTTCCAACAGCGGCGCATGTATGACGTCATCCGTGCGCCGGACTGGAGTTGTGACGGGCAGCCCGGGCCCCAGGTGGCTACGCTCTACCCCTTATTCATTCGGCTAGCTAATCAATTCCGATTCCAATTCAATTCCATTTCCAGAGCTAGATCATCTGTGGTAGTAGCACTAGACATCTTCCAGGCATGTGAGTAAAAACTGGCAGCAGTTCAGTGGACAGGATGAAGGAATGGTAGCCGACACACACGGATGACGTCATACACACTCCGCTTTGTTTAAAAAAAAAGTAATAAATATAAAAAAATATAACCGCGGATGTCTGGGGGACAGTGATTCGCCTACATGTTCTGAATGCTGGCGTTCCATAAATGATAAATTATGAACAGTTTAGTTTGTGCCTTCAAGTCGTTGCCCATAGGAAGACATTACTTGAATATTACAAAACCAAATATCTTCAGAAGAGCTCCAAATGACATAAAACTCATATGGGCGAGTAGAACATGATGTAATAGCATAAAATCAAGAGTCCAAGGTAAAAAAAAAAAAACAGGGTTCCCCTTTAAGTGGGATACACCACACTTAAAAATGTGCACACATGAAAACCCCCGAGGGTCAGAGACTCTCCCACCACAGTCTCCTAAAATCCTGTGGGAAACACTGGAGCTGCGTTGTCTAAGGCAGTACGCAGAGAACCAGCAACCCCATCGACAAAATCTTCAACCTGTGAAGGGGAATAAACTAAGCTTTTGCACTCTGCAGCACTGCTCAGCGACACAGAGGAGAGAGAAAGTGAAACAGATTCTATAAAATGTATAACTGCACTATCTGATAATGATCTACTAAAATGTAACTTTCTTTTGGGGGAGGAGAACATTGTTAAAGTTATCCTGAAGGTTATTAGAAAGTGGTCAGAGAGGTCTCAGATAGATTAACTTTCTCTTATCGAGAGCAGTGAGGTGGGGTGACTCAGACATCTCTCTGATGCCCACTGGACGCCTCCTTCAGGAGTTGTGTCAAGTACTTCCCACCGAGAAGAGTCTGTTTGATGGCCGTGACGCACCTCAAGGAAACAAATGTTTGTTTTTGCTAAAGAATCCTGCTCTGACCTGTTTCCAGGTAACTATCAGCTGATTGCTCCATCTGAACCAATCATAGTGGGTCCTGGAGATGATGTCATCCTTCCATGTCGGGTGGATCCTCACTGGAATGCTGTGGAGAAGACTGTGGAGTGGTCCAGACCGGATCTGAAGGCCTCAGGCCCACAGAAGCGTGTGGAGTACGTGTACGTGCACCGGTTCAGGAAGATGGACAGAGACATGATGATGGAGACGTACATCCAGAGAACGTCTCTGTCAGGAAGGACTGAGACATGGAGACGTGTCTCTGAGGATCCACAACGTGAGCTTGGAGGATACCGGGAGGTTCAGATGTTTCATCCCAAACCTGAGCATAGAAGCAGAGGTTCTGCTGGTTGTTGGTGAGGAAACTGCTCCAAACTGCAGGTTGGTTTATTTGGTTCTGGAGAATCTAATGGATCCTGTTGATGTTTCAGACCCAGACTTTGTTAAAATGACGACAACAGAGACGTTTACTCAGAGAATCACTCCAGCCTTTCAGAATGAGACCGTCGGTAGCGGTGAGTATGCAGGTCCGAACAGAACCATCTCAGCCTGAATGTTTGCAGCACTTTAATCTGGACTCTATTGCATTTCAGGAGGGGTCAGGCTCCATGTTCTTTTACCCCTTTTCTTCATCTTCATCGTTTGCCTCGCTTCTGTTTTCATCTACATCGTCAGAAGAAGGAAATCAAACACAGGAAGTAGGTTGGGTTTATGTTCAGAGTTTCCTATTATTGGTTTAGCTCTATTCTTCCCTCCATTTTTATACATCATAGGGTCATACAGTGAGCGGAACACAGTCATTATTCTAAGGTGCTAAAAATACTTTGGTTCTACAGGAATGACGGATAACTTCCCTCTATTGAACTGATACAGTTTCCTGTCATGTCTTTTATTTATACTCTGCACACAAAATTATTATTCAACAAAAATAATGAACTTACATTAAAAAGGAATAAAATTCAGCACCAAAACTTCTACTTTTAGGAGGCCTGCTTATTTAATGGTGCCTTGTCAGTAAATACTATTTATTTATAGAAGGAGCTGCAGGGTAGAAAATTTAGCTAATGCTAAATCATTTATTCTGTTTTTAGACTGCTTTAGGTCTGAGGAAACAATTCTGTTAACTCATTTGTTAATTTTTCTTTAAAGATGAAGTTAAACAGTTGACCAAATGAACTTAACTCACAAGATTGTGTTACTTTTATCAATAATTATATTACAAAGGTGAAAAATACAAATGTTAAAAAGGAAAAAAAAAGATTTTTTATATAACTTTTTGGCAAGGGCGCCACCGTGTTGCAGTACTCCATGCAGTGATGTCAGGGGTTAATTTGATGCCTCAGCTAGCAGTTGAATACACTGGATAAGGTGGTGATATGTCACAAATGTGAAATACTTAAGAAATTTGGTCTGGAAGAGGAAGCTTGAAGGAAACAGAAGCTTCCACCAACTCCTATGGTTATGAAATCTGGACCATGACCAAAAGAACAAGATCTCAGTTCACTTCAATTCAGTTTATTTCTATAGTGCCAAATAACAACACGGCATCTCAATGCACTTTACAGTTCACCAGATCCTTAATCTCATTTTTCTAAGTTCGCCAGTGCCGCTCCAGCATTACACCTGGAAGGTTCTTCAGTTTCTAATTGTTCGCAGTGATTCATGTCAACTCCTCTCTCTTTGTTACGTCGATACATTAAACTGTGGTGCAACTGACCCTGGAGGTTATCAGGAGGAGGAATGGTGATGATTAAGAAACCTTTAAATATGTACAGACTTTCATTTTGAAGTTAAACTTGTAGGGAAGTCATATTTAAATGTCAAATCATTCTGGGTTAAACATGTATATAAATGTACTCTTTATCAGCCCATATCGTCTCAAAATTTAGAAAAATATTCTATAAAAAAAAAAAATCTTGTCTTAAAATCCCTGGTGGGGGGTTCGTTATCTTATGCAGGCCAGTTAGTTATACGTCAGCTTGAACACCTAAATTCAGCCAATCATATATCAAGGGTCATCTGTCAATCAAATTGTTTCAGTCATAGCATCTTGATTCATATGTCGCAGCTAATATACGCAACGGTTGAAATGGGTAATAAGAATCCTTTCCTTTCCCATTGAGTTCCGTCCCAGTGTTCACGGGGATGGACGTCTGTGTCTTCAGCAGGCGTAGAGCTAACAGAACTGGCAGCGTTGCGAGGCAAGGGCTCAAACATGTACGGCTGGAAGCCTTCTACACCAAACCAAGCTTCTGCCGCCCTGGCGTCCTCTTCCACAACATCTTCGTCCCCGCTTTCCTCCTCTAAATAAAAAATATATGAAGGAGGAGACTCATCCACGACCTCCGACACTAAACTCTCCTCCTCTTGCATGTTTCCTCTGTCCATAGCGTTCCTTGACAGTGTCGTTTCTAAGTGTTTCTTGGTCCCAATGTCATTTCCCATTGGGAACCTACTAGTACCAAGTTGCTAACTGGTTAGCAAAATGCTTGTGCCATAACAATCCCGCTCCCTTGATAATGGACCAATAACATTCACTTTATTCACTGGTGTAAAGTCGTGCACCACTCGGGAGAATTCAGAAATGCAACGTTTGGAACAGCCGTTTCCCTACGACTTTGACAGAAGTGTTTTGTTGTTTTTTGACAGAACAACATAGATCACACTGCAGTTTCAGATCTAGTTAAAATCTATTCCCAGCTAAAGTTTCATATGAAGTAAAATTAAATGTCCGAAAAAGATAATCGGCTTCAGTTCTGCCTGTTTCCCATCACTTTAACACATGCTTCCCCTACAGAGGTGTCAAACTAGGCCTAAGGGGGCCGCACAGTTTCACATCAAGGTTCTTTTTATAAATGCGACCCTTTCAGAGGAAGTGGGCGCACGCAGGCTTTATTTACGAGACCTCTGATCTGCTGTAGAGCGCATCAATCCATTTTCCTCACTAATCTTTGCAGTGAAATGAGATCCAAGGCCAACAAAGAAACAAAAACCCTCATTTATAGTTAGTTACATCATGATCCAGGAAGTTTTGATGAATCCTTTTGATGATGAAACACATTTCTCGTTACACTTATTTCCACATACTGTAGTAGCCATTCAAAACGGCCCTTCCTAGTCAAACACCAGCCAAGTGTCAGCCCACTTCCCTGCAACTCCCAGTTAAAATCCCCTCCATGAACCTAACATATCTTTTTCCTCTGACTCCACCCTTACACTGAATTACAGGGTCTGACCAGGAGATAGCGCTTCTCTTTAGATCTTAATGTCCACAAATCATAACAGAATATTTTAGTACAAATATTGATGTTTAAAAAGGAATTGTAGAGGACCAGCTAAGGAAAGGCCCACCAAGGAAAGTGGGGAAATTTTGAATGGCTACTACTGTACCATTAATAACACTATTGTCTCCTTTTATTTTAAGCTTCTGTTCAGTTTTTAACAGATGAATCCATATGAAGCTGGAGTACCCAGAGAGATACCCATGCATGCTAAGGGAGAACATGAAATTCCACGCAGAAATACCCAAAACCAGGAATCAAACAGAACCGTCTTGCTGCAAGGCAGCCGTGCTACCCACTGCTCCACCATGCAGCCTGTTATAACTTGTTTTATGACATTGTTTCTGCCTGTCCTGATAATACTCCTCGTCCTGCTACGCTAACGGCTAAGCTACATGTCATCTAAAGTGGCGAGAATTTCTTTAAAAGTCTCTGGTGTTTATTTCCAATCGTTTGTTCTCTTTCAGGTTATTCGTCTTGCGGATCTCGGCAGGAAGAACCAGACTTTCAGAGCAATGCAAGAAGAGAAGAGAAACCTTCAGTTTAACTTTCCAATCCGAACAAGAAGCAAAACTGCACCTAAAGTATTATTATTATATTTTTTATTATTATTATGAACCCAAGTTGCCTCCTGAGGCCTAATTGAGCATCCTCAGTTCACCTCTAATGTAGCACTGTATCCTTGAACGGCTCAGATCATATTTGGACTGTTATATGAAGAAGTTTGATGTTTTCTCTCTTTATCTCTAATACCAGCAGATGTTTCCAGATGTTTACCAACTTTAGTTTAGATTCAACTTATTCTTCTTTATATGAATGGATCTTTGCAGAAGCAGCTTTTTGAATCACTGTGATCAGCTTCAAGTCTCTTTGTTCTAGTTGGACATGTTTACATATTTCATTGATTTTTGCACAGACGCTCTTAAATAAAGCAAAGCATTATTGGTAGGATTCCTTTAAAATTTCACTAATTTGCATTTACGCTTTTTGTTTTTTGGATTGTGGAAGTAAGTTAACTTTATTTGAAGGACTTGGCAGAATTAATCTAAATATTAGGAAAGGTTTATAAAACCTTTCCTAATATTAACACGTTATTGATTTTATTTATTTTTTATTTCTTTATTATTTTCTTTTTTTCTGCCATGTAACCAAAGCCTGATGCTCAGCCTGTGTAACAACTGTTTATCAGTCGGCAGCTGCTGTGTCAGAGGATCCACAAATGTTGATCTATCTCCCTGTAATTGAGGCTGTGGTCAGAAACGCCCTAAAGAACGTTAAACAAAATGTAATGTCGGCACGCCTTCAATGTTCCTTTATATTGCTGTCTTTCTGTTACCCTAGAACTGCTGCACTTTTATTGTTTTAAAGTTTTTCTGCTGAAAGTTGACTGCAAATATTTCTAAGATAAAACAGAAAATTCTTAAACATTATTTTTTATTAAATTGTTTTTGCAGCAGATTAAGTTTCGATAAAAAAAAAGGTTGAAATCCAATGCATTCTGAGCTTTTTTATTCGCCTGATGCAGGTTTCTCACAGCGGCGATCCTTTCTGATGTTTTAGCTCCATAGCAGCAATAATTATCACCAAAAATATTCCAGTGAAGGTTGTTCTCTTGTGTGGATGGATTCCCCCAGGGAGCAGTGGGATGCCTGAGAGCAGCAGCAGCCACAAAGTATTCTGGGGCCGAATGTTATCCTCAGTAACCCAGAGAAGCATGCAGGGAGTGCGAATTATATAGCACCACTCCAACAGATGAATCCCAAACCGCTCCCTAACCTCAACTATGAAGTGTCACTCACAGTGAAGTCACACTCAGCTGTGGAAGGCGCCTGAGTTGTACTTGAGGGGTTTAAATAAGAATAGGACGGGCTCTTCCCTGCAGGAAAGGGAAAACAGTTGTTCCTACAGCAACACAGTGATGCCACATGGCACAGGTTAACATATTATGAAACATTTGCTTTTTTCTTTAAAAAAAATTATCCATTCATTACTATTCTAATTTATGGATCATATTTTTATTTTATTTTTTCCTTGTTATTTTCTGTCAACGTTATGAAGATGTAGCAAACCAGTGGAGCTTCCATTTGAATGTAGGTGTTTCCTCCTCTCCTAGTTCACCGTTACACCCACAGTAAAATCCCTGTAAGCCTGCACTGATGCAAACTCGCTATGTAAGATCTGAATGGTCCGCTCACCCTATGGCCATACCCACTACGGGGTTTGGTTTGTCATTTAATGTGGCGGACCCTCTGCAGGACGGCGTCCAGTTTGGGATTCAGTCGTCCTGTGGATTAATCTGTTTTAGATCCACTGGGACCTCAGCTGACCTCAGTCTGGTGGAGATGTAGACGTGAATATAAATATACCCTGC